CGACCCGACCGGGACTAGAACCCGGTGTGCTGGCGCCGCTAGGTGGAGGATTAGCCTAGTGAGCCGCGGCACCGGCCTAGACCCATTTTTATTATTAGAAAGACTATATTTTGAAGCTGACATCATGGCATAGGAGGTTGATACCACCTACAGTGCCAGCATTCCATATGGGTGCTGGTTCACTTTCCAGCTGCTCCACTTCTGATCCAGCTCCCTACTAATGTGCCAGGGAGAACAGTGAAGGATGGCCCAAGTCCTTGGACCCCTGCACCCACGTGAAAGACCTGGAAGAAGCACTTGGCTCCTGGTTTCAACCTGGCCCAGTTGTGGAAGATCTCTCTCTGTAATTTTTGTCTCTGTAATTCTGAATTTCAAATAAGTAAAATAAAAATATTTTTAAAAAAGACTATATTTCACTTAATTGTTGAAAGTTTGCCATCCAAATTAAATGTACCATAGGTGTAAAATAAAAAGATGCAAATATATACACTGGATTTCAAGGACTTATTACCAAAAAAATCATGAATAAATTTTATATTTATTGATTAGTAAAATGATAATACTTTAGATACTTAGAGCTACATAAAGCATAGTACTAATTTTAATTTTGCCAATTTTTAGTTTTTTTTTCCCTTTTTGCGTATTACTACTGGAAAATGGAAGGCTACATTTGTGAGTTACATTGTGGCTCTATGGAAAAACGCTGGAGTCTCCACTATTGTAAGCACAAGGTCAAAATTTGTAGCCTGTTCTGCAAGACCCAGAATGATGTCATCCTGTAGTTTGAATTTGGATTTTGTTTTATTTGACATCATGTGTTTGCCTGGACTCTTTCTTCCTGAAAAGGAACTTATTTCCTGTTTGTTTTTAATGATTTCCTTTTATGTATTTGAAAGACAGAGTTACAGAGAGAGAGGGAGAGGGAGAGACAGAGAGAGATCTTCCATCCACTGGTCCACTCCCTAAATGGCTGCAACAGCCAGGGCTGGGCCAGATCAAAGCCAGGAGCCCGGAGCTTCCTGTGGTCTCCCATGTGGGTGCAGGGGTACAAGCACTTGGGCCATCCTCCACTTCCTTCCCAGGCACATTAGCAGGGAGCTGGACCAGAAGTGGAGTAGCTGGGACTTGAACCAGCGCCCACATGGGATGCCAGGATCGCAGGTCCTGGCTTAACCTGCTCTACCACAAACCTCAGGACCTTTTTTCTTCCATTCCAACGTTCATGTATCTGCTTTTCCTTCTGTTTCAAACATTCTGCCCTACTCAGCTTTTGCCTAGTTAACTCCTATTTAGACTTCAGATCTCATTCCACACGTGACTTCCTCAGGCGGAGCTGTGATCTCATCCGGGGACTTACGCTGTGCTGCCAACCCTGGGCAGTGCTAGGCGCAGACGAGAAGAGCAAGGGACATCGAGAAGGAAGACCGGATTGGCCAGGGGTCGTGAGGCTCAAGAGGCCGAGGGAGATGTCCAGAGTTTATGCCTGATCTCATAGCAAGTTGAAGGACCACCGCATTGCATCAACAAAGATGCGCCGTTTCGTATGCAGCGTCAAATTCTGCTGGGCTGAGCGGTTCCCTCAGGAGTCTTAGTTAATAGCTGATGATGTTCCTTGTCTCGCCACCGTCCCTGGTCCTAAGACAGGAAGACTAGATACAATACCAAACTCCTGCGATTCCTCCGTATTAGTCACACACTCAGTGCAGTCTGAGTAAAATTCCCAACAATGATTATCTTAGAATGGAATTTGACAAGCAGATTCTAACAGTCTAGATGAAGGACAAAAGGTCAAAAATAGCACAGATGCTCCTGGGAGAAGGGAAACAAGGCAAGGGTGGGATTTTTCTGCTTGAAAATGAAGAATATGATGAAGCTTTTTTTTTTTAAAGGCAGATGGGGTTGGTGTAGGGAAAGAGAAACCATGAAACAGAATAGGGAACATAGAGACAGACCTGTCATTTCAGAAAACCTGCTGTAAGATTGTGCCAGTACTGGGGCCGGTGCTGTGGCGCAGCAGGTCAGCCTGCTCTCTGCAGCGCTGACATCCCATATGGGCACTGACCTTAATCCCAGCTGCTCCGCTTCCAATCCAGCTCCCTGCCAATGCACCTGGGAAAGCAGCAGAGGATGACCCAAGTGCTTGGGCCCTTGCACCCATGTGGGAGGCCTGGAGAAGGCTCCTGGCTCCTGACTCTGGCCTGGCCCAGCCCCGGCCTTTGCTGCCATTTGGGGAATGAACCAGCAGGTGGAAGATTTCTCTCTCTTTCCCTTTGATTCTATGTATTTTTACCTTTCAAGCAAATAAATAAATCTTTAAAAAGGTTGTGCCAGTATTGCAGATTAATGCACATACATAAGAGGGAAGTGCAGACTGCACTGAGTGTGTGACTAATACGGAGGAATCGCAGGAGTTTGGTATTGTATCTAGTCTTCCTGTCTTAGGACCAGGGACGGTGACGAGACAAGGAACATCATCAGCTATTAACTAAGACTCCTGAGGGAACCGCCCCAGATCATTTCTTCCCATTGCTGCCTATTCTCATTGGCTGCGTGGTCTGAGGTCCACCCAACCAGAGAGAGCACTCTCCTTCACCACATTTATCGTCTTAGAGATCGGTCCTGTGTTTTCTTGTTCATGCAAATTGTGTAAAGGTGCACCTTTTCGTTTATTCATTTTATTCCTTAATTTCTGTCGAGGTTTGGGTCATTTCTATTCTTCTGTTTTACTCATAGTTACCAGTCACTTCCGTTTCTAATGAATGCAGCTTTTCCCCCCTTAACTGCCCCCTTGCTATTTATTTCTGGTCTGTAGAATGAAATTGGTGTTTGGATGTTAACCTTGAATACACCCCCTCGGTAAACTCTGTAATTCATTCTAAAGTAATTATGTGTTGATGCTCTGAGTTTTCTGTGTAGATATTGTATTTATAGACATTGTGTTTGCTTATTTATAATACTGAAAATTTTTGTCTATTTTTATTATTTTTTGTTCTTCTGAATGTGAATATTGAGTGGAAATGCTGATCCTTATTTGGTTTCACACTTTAAAATAATTTTTTAAAGATTTATGTATTTATTTGAAAGTCAGGGTTACACAGAGAGAGAAGGAGAGGCAGAGAGAGAGAGAGAGAGAGAGAGGTTCATTCCCCAATTGGCCGCAATGGCCAGAACTGCACCGATCCGAAGCCAGGAGCCAGGAGCCAGGAGCCATGAGCCAGGAGCCAGGAGCCAGGAGATTCTTCCGGGTCTCCCAGGCGGGTGCAGGGCCCAAGGACTTGGGCCATCTTCTACTGCTTTCCCAGGCCATAGCAGAGAGCTGGATTGGAAGAGGAGCAGCCGGGTCTCGAATGGCGCCCATATGGGATGCCGGCGCTTCGGGCCAGGGCGTTAACCCGCTGCACCACAGCACCAGCCCAAAAGAATTGTTTTTAACATCTTATACTAAAGAAAAGACCTACTTAGAGCTTTCCATGGATTCCTGCCATCCATTTAAAGATGTTTCCTTCTATTCTTAGTAAACAAATGGGATTTTTTTCATCAATAGTTTTTTTTTACATTTGTTGATGCTATTTTATGTGAAGAAATATTGTTCATGTATTGAAATGATCATTTGACTCCTCCTCATTTAATAAGGCAAATTGGGTAGGATTGGAAGATGTTGCCAGTCGTATGGCTTCAGCAGAAGGTTGTGGGTGATACTCAGCAGTTTTGGTGGGGACACAGCACCAATGGGAGAGCCTCAGAAGCAGCCCATGGTGTTGTCCAGCCTCAGAAAAGTCCATTCCGTGGGCGTTGTCATGGCTGAGTGGGGACAGCGGGACAGCTGGGGGCATGTGAAGTCTCAGGGGCTGAAGGAAGTCCCCGAGGGACTTCAGGGAACACGGAGCAGGAGGAGGAGGAGGAGGATCCGGGACTAGGCAGGAAAGGGGAATTGGTGAGGTGGAGCTGTTGTCATGTAGACCTCATTCAAAGTTGTGTCTTATTCTCAGACACAAAGAGACAGAGCCGAAAAGCTGGGTAAGATCTACACAGGACAAGTCACAGAATTCAGAAGGGAAAACAACCTTCAAGCGTTGATTAAAAAAAAAAAATTAGAACAGCCCTGCTCTTGACTGTCAAGAACAATATTTTTTTTTCTTGTTTGTTTGGTTTTGTTCTTTTTTCTTCATGCTATTTGGTGAATTCTCTACTTAGTATAGGGTTAATCTTATGGGTATAAAATTAACTGAAAACTGACCTTTGTGAAAAATAAGAATAGGAAAGGGAGAGGGAGGAGGAAGATGGGTGGGAGGGAGGTAGACAGGGGAGGACTCTCCATGGTATATATTAAATGCATGGAGTTTGTATTCCTTAAGTAAAATTTTAAGAAAAAAATAGTACAAGTATGAGGACATGCTTCCTTACATAAAAGCTAATAAATTAGTAGACACAGTTATCCCCAAGCGCTGGCATAGATTCAAAAGTAGCTTCACGTAATACTGACCTCAGGTAGCCATGCAGTTAAAGGGACCTGGGTCTTGTCTGGAATGGCAGGCCTGGGTGAGGGACACTGCACCCTCTATCCCCTGCTCACCAGGCAGACTTCACTAAGGCGTGGATGAATTTCATTTCACCATTGTGAGAGCCCCGGGGCAGGTAATTCTCTCTGCTTCAATTCTCTACACTTCCCACAGTCCCTCCAGTATCGTGTCTGGTAAAAACATTGCATTTTTAGAGATGACCTTGATCTCTTTTTCGTTGTTGTTGTCATTGCTTAGTACAGAAAAGGGAAGAACCAGAAATAGAAAAGACCAGCACATGGAATAGTTTAAAAGTGCTGGACACGGTAGTGCAAGGGACCTCAAAAAGAAACATTCCTTCTCCTTTTGCGCCCTTTCTTTCCAGTTCTGGGTGCACATCAGATAGAGGCGGCAGCCCCAGGAGAGCTGCAGGGCCAGTGCACATGGAACCAATTGCCTTTTTCGCCTGTAGTAAAGTTCACATTTTGATTGCTTTTCCAGATTATGTAGATCCAGACATATTTTATGCAGTCATCCGGATCTTTCTCTCTGGGTGAGTATAGTTCAATCATTTTCCCAGGTGAAGCCTCTGTAGCATTTTCCTAATGGAAGATGGGAGATAGCAGAAACTTCCTAGAATAAGAGGCAAAGTAATTGCTTGGACACCTTCTCCAAGAAAATGAGTGGGGGACCACCTGTGTGACCAGTGCCACTGAGGGCCGAGAACTGAAGTTCAGAGAGAGAGCCTCATTACACCACCACAGGAGGCCCATTTGCATTCGCTTTTCTTGGAATCCTGCCCTTGGACAGGAAGTAAAAAGCCTCATGTGCCACCCATAGAACTCTGTCCCGCAAGTCCATTCTCTGTGCCCCCCGCCAGTTACCCTGGCAGGTAGAAGGGGAGATGGTGGCTCAGAGCTCTCCCCTCAGTTCCTGGGAGAGCCCCCTGCTGTGGTTGGAATGCATGGGTCCCTCCACAATTTCTGTGTTGAAACCTAGTCACCAGGGGAGGATATCAGAAAGTGGGACCTGCGCTCTGTGGATGGGGTTTCTACCATACAGAAGGGCTGGAGGCGACAAGGCAGGCCTTCATTCCCCTTTTGTCTGTCTGTCCTTACATCGCATTAGAACTCAGCGTTCAAGGTGCCCTCTTGGAGACAAAAATTGGGCCCGCAGCAGCCACAGAACTTGCCAATGCCTTGAATCTTGGACTTTCCAACTTCCAAAACTGTGAGAAATACATTTCCAGTACTTATACATTACTCCCAGTTTCAGATTTTTTAAAAAATATTGTATTTATTTATTTATTTGAGAGGAAGAGTTACAGAGAGAGAGAGAGAGAGAGAGAGAGAGAGAGAGAAAGGTCTTCCAGTGGCTGGTTCACTCTTCAAATGGCTGCAACAGCCAGAGCTGCGCAGATCTGAAGCCAGGAGCCAGGAGCTTCTTCCCGGTCTCCCACACAGGAGCCCAAGGAGTTGGGCCATCTTCTACTGCTTCCCCAGACCATAGGAGAGAGCTGGATCAGAAGTGGATCAGCCAGGACTAGAACCGTCACCTGTATGGGATGCCGGTGCCACAGGTGGAGGCTTAGCCCACATTTCTCCAGGCATGGCTTCTAAACACATTACTCATTGCTAACTCGACAAGTCTGAGCCAGATTGGCTTCCTAGTAACATTAGCTGGGGGATGTTCAGCTTGCTTCTTTTCAATGGCGAGGCACAGAAGGTGGAGTCAGCGGATGGGTGAGGTGTTGTCTACTGTGCCACCTGGCTAACCTGGAGATGCCGGAAGTGCTGTCAACAGAACGCCAGGCTGTGCCTACGTGCCAAGTTGATCATGGACATGGTCCACTGACGCACGAAAGGAGGAAAGGCGTGTGCTAAGTATTTTCTCCAGATTGGGTAGGCCTGGAGTGTGAGGCAGTTGATGAGGAGTCCAGGCTGGTGGGAGGGAAGTTTTGTTGTTGTCATTGTTGCTCAGTACGGAAAAGGGAAGAACCACAAATAGAAAAAGACCAGCGTATGGAGTAGTTTGGAACAAGGCTTCCATCGAGTAACTTGAGAGTGATGGGTATGTAGCTTCTGGGAGAAAAAGAGGGGGAAAAAAGGAGAGGGAGTGTGTAAGCATTTGGCTTAAGGGTTTAGAAACTCAGATGACATGTCAGAGTGCCTGGGTTCGATACCTTCCTCTAGCTCTTGATTCCAGCTTCCAGCCAATGCAGTTGGGCTCCTCCCACCCACATAGGAGACCTGGATTGAGTTCCCAGCCTTGGCCTCAGTCCAACCCTAGCTTTTGTGGGTTTTGGGGAGTGACAGCAGATGGGAAAACTCTCTCTTTCTGTCTCTGTGCCTTATTGCCTCTCAAATAAACAAATTAAAATGAGGAATGGGTTTCAATGTTGTACCTGAGCGAGTGTAAACAAAGGAGCACCACACACTGATAAACTTTGATGGTCCTTTATTGCCGGCGGTGGAGAGTGGGCTCATGCCCTAAAGAACTCTTGACCCTGAAGCCCAAAGCAACAGGGTTTATAAAGGCAAAATCTGCAAAATCGGGAGGGGAATACATGGTTTCTAGGATCGGGGGAAATACATGGTTACTGGGGTCAAGCTGACCTAAAACCTATGCGAAACTACTATCAATTATAATCTTGACAATACCAGTTACAGTCTTAACAATTCCAATTATAATCTTGACATTAATGCAGGTATTGGCTTAAATCCTATGTACAATATAGACAACTTACATTTTTATCATTAACCCAGGTGCAGCCTATCCACTTCCAAGCTTGAGCAATCATGCTAGGGGGTTTCTGTGCTCTGCCAAGTGTGATGTAGTGGACTGCTATTGTCCAACTGTTTTAGATCACAGTTTCAGACCAGAGTCTCACAGTGTGGGGGGCGGGCACCTTCCCAGAATGGAGTCTCAGGTTCTCCAAAATGGAGTCCCTACTGTCAAGGTGGTATTGCATCAGAATTTAGCTTTTTCTTTTCTACCTTTTATAGAATTAGACAAGGAAAATAAGGGCCACTTTTAGCCATCATGTTGTAATTCCTGCACTAGATTCAGAAATAGACTGGGATTTCAAGCCCACCCATGCCTGGAAAATCTCTTTGTGTTTCCCTGTGCTCTCTGAGTGTATATTAGTTTTGCATTGTGGTATAACAAGTTAACCACAAATTTAACAGCATTCCTCTCACAGTTCTGCAGAAGACCAGGAAAGCTCAACTGGGCTCTCTGCTCCCAAAGCTGGAGTAAGGTGTCTGCTAAGCTCAGCTCGGAACTGAGCACCTGGGGAAGCACTGGCTGCCCAGTTTACACGTGGCTCTGGAGCTGCGATCCGGTTTCCTCGCTGGCTGCCAGATCTAGGGGCCTCACATTCCATGTGCTCTCCATCTCAGCAGTGACACCCCTACTCCTGCTAGGACTTCTGACTTCTTCTTTAAAAAAATCATTTATTTCCCTGAAAGGCAAAGTGACAGAGAGAAAGAGAGAGAGGAAAGGCAAGAGAAAGAGAGAGAGAGGAGTGGGGAATACATCTTTCAAATGCTTGCAATAGCCAGATCTGGGCCAAAGCCGGGAGCCAGGAAGTGCAGGGGCCCAGGCTCTTGCGCCATCATTCCATCATTTGCTGCTTTCCCAGGCACAGTAACAGGAAGCTGGATTGGAAGCAGAGCAGCTGGGACTTGAACTAGCAGTCTGACATGGGATGCCAGTGTCTCAAGTGGCAACTTAACCTGCTACACCACGACATTGGCCTCTGACTCCTTTTAAGAATCTTACGTGATTAGATTCAGCTCTCCTAAGATAATCTCCCATGACTTCCTATATGAAAGTCAATGCAAGAGTAACCTTGATTATGATTGCCTAGTTGCTTTTGCCAGGCTGTATAATATAGCATTTTGATAGACACAATATCTCATAATAATAACAGTCTGGAATTAGCACTTGAATCTTGGGAAATCATTCAAGGGAATAAACTAACTGATTACGCCTAATATCAGAAGTATCTGATTAGGGCAAAATGTACATTCTAAGATCTTCATGTTTGCATGGATATCAGAGTTGACTATTCGAATTAAATTCTGGGGGCCTGCACTGTGGTATATAGCAGGTAAAGCCGCCACCTGCATTGCTGGTAGCCCATATAGGCACTGGTTTGAGTCCCAGCAGCTCCATTTCCGATCCTGCTCTCTGCTATGGCGTGGGAAAGCAGGAGAAGATGGCCCAAGTCCTTGGGCCCCTGTACTCATGTGGGAGACCCTTAGGAGGCCCCTGGCCCCTGGCCCCTGGCTTTGGATCAGCGCAGCTCCGTTGCGGCTAATTGGAGAGCAAACCAGCAAATGGAAGACCTCTCTCTCTCTCTCTCCCTCTCTGCCGCTCCTTCTCTGTGTAACTCTGACTTTCAAATAAGTAAATAAATCTTTAAAAAAGAAAGAAATTCTGTGTCAGAGACATGTTTTATCTGTGATCCACATAAATGCCTTCCCTCTGATCTTCAAAATATGCCCCATGTGAAAACAGTGGAAGATGCTCCAAGTGCTTGGGCCCCTGCACCCATGTTGGAGACCCGGAAGAAGCTCCTGGCTCCTGGCTTCATCCTGTCCCAGTCCCAGCTGTTGTGGCCATCAGGGGAGTGAACCAGTGCATGGAAGATCTCCACCCCACCCCACCCCGTAATTCTGCCTTTCAAATAAATAAATAAAAATATTAAAAATAAAAGAAAAAATATATCCCATGTAGCCAAGTGGCCGGTAGCAAATCCCTGGTACACTGATAAGCATAGATGTCCCGAGACATCTGGGTTTTTAAAAATTCTCAGGAGTGCGATTTGTTCTATGTTTGTTCTATCTTCTGTCTACTTGGTTTTTTTGTTTGTTTGTTTGTTTGACAGGCAGAGTGAATAGTGAGAGAGAGAGAGACAGAGAGAAGGTCTTCCTTTTGCCATTGGTTCACCCTCCAATGGCTGCCGCGGCCGGCGCACCGTGCTGATCCGAAGGCAGGAGCCAGGTGCTTCTCCTGGTCTCCCATGGGGTGCAGGGCCCAAGCACTTGGGCCATCCTCCACTGCCTTCCCAGGCCACAGCAGAGAGCTGGCCTGGAAGAGGGACAACCGGGACAGAATCCGGCGCCCCGACCGGGACTAGAACCCGGTGTGCCAGCACCGCTAGGCGGAGGATTAGCCTAGAGAGCCATGGCGCCAGCCCTGTTTACTTGTTTAAAAGTATGTTTACTTAGGACAGTTGAGAGGTGCCGCCCATAGGTGAGAGGGTTGAGAGGTGCTGTCCATGATGAGAAGCGCCACTCACAGAACATTTTGTGGGAGCGTCTCAGCCCTGCAGAAAGGAATGCCATCTCACTGATGTTTTCTGTTTCCACTTCCCTTTTCTTGGGGTTGCTAGAAATGCCCGGCAACAAAATCTAAAAATAACCTTGACTTTGCCGAGATTTAAAGAGAAAATGGTTCCTTTCCTTCACACACTGCAGCCTGGGACTGAGGGGCTGGGAGCAATGCTTTTTTTTTTTTTTCAGGGGAGGAGTTCATGCTGGTGAT